TTACTAAGAAATATTTGAGGGGCCAGGGAGATAGCTCAGTAGAATAAGTGCTTCCCCGGCAAGCACAAGGGCCTGAGTTCAATGCCCGGTTCTGAAAAAAAAAATTTTTTTTTGAAGAGAAATGTCACAAGGCATTGTTTTATCTAACCCCCTCCCCCACTTTAAAATTCAACAAACAGGGTATGGTGGCACATTCCTGTAAAGCATAAATTTGAGGCAAGCCTGAGTCACACAGTGGGTACAAGATCAGTCTAAACTACATAGTGAGACAAAAAATATTCAACAAATATTTATTGAGCACGTAGAGTACCAAGAAATCAATACTAACTTTGGTCTCAGATATCTCAAGAATACAAGTAATTATTTTCATACATATAGAAGATGGTTTTATTTCAACTTCATATATAACAGCTTATTGTTTTGAAAGGGAAATTAAAATATGGAATAAAGCCTGCCAAGAATGCCTGCTAAAACCAGAAGCATATGTCCAGAAATGACTGATAACAGGACATTTCTTCCTTTATGTAACCCATCCACATTTAAATGATGGCCTTGCAATGTAACCGCAAATATAGTGGGACATTTCTTCCTTTATGCTTGTTTAACTGATGGCCTTTGTAGTGGATTTCTAACTGGCGGTTAACTTGTTACACCCAGCTGGATTGAACTAGCAGTGGTGCTGGGTGTGGGAGGCCCACCTGAGAATTGTTGCCAGGAGTATAAAAGGCAGAGCAGGCGAAGCTGTTGGTACACTGTTCGGGATGCTGTTTGGAGAGGCTGTTGGTTCTCCTAGGGGATGTTCTGCTGGGTGGCCTTGTCATGCTAGCTTTCCTGATAAACTTGGCTATTCTTGTTGGAGAAGGAGTTTGGGACTTTGTTGCTGCTGAGAATGGCTACGGTTCATTTCAGGGCTGGTCTCACCTTGAGTTCAGGCTGGCTCCAGAGGGGAAGATGGTGCACTGCTCAGCCTCATGGAGAAGCTTGTCGCGTTGACTTTCCTGATGGGAACTCGGCTTTCCTCATTGCTGGAGGAGCTCAGGACCTCTCTGTTGCTGAGGATGCTGTGGTACTTTTGGGGGAGCTCTGGTGCTTACCTTGAGCTTTGCTTCCTGGCTCCAGTTCAGGTCCCTCAGCCTGCTTGCACAGATCCTTCGTCCTGATGGCATGGACGTTCTAGCTTTCACCACTGACCTTTGGGTCTTCCCAGCGCAGATCTGTGAGCCAGGCATGCATGAAACTGTTGTGGGCTCTAAGCCTCCAGCTGGACTTGTGGGGGGCATTGTTATGAGTTCTAGGTCTTCAGCTAGACTCATGCAGGGTATTAGGATCCAGGCCCTCAGCTAGGCTCTTTGGTCTTTAGTCTGCAGACAGATTTCCTGTAATTCTTGTATATGATTCTTTATAAAACATTATAAAATGTGTCCTATATTATATTGTTCTCCATGCAAAAACCGCAAATCATGACAGCCTTGCAATGCAATCTGAGATATTTAAAATCCCTTAGCAATTCATGCTGTCACTCAGCCCTTCTACTACAATGTGCCACATATGCCTTTGTCCCTCCGGGCTTACTTTCTCTATCAAAGTCCCAAAACCTCGCTGGGCAGAGTGCTGACTCTGGGAGATGTCTCCGTGAGGCCCACTGGTGCAATAAATTACTTCCTAAACCTCAGTGCTGTTTCCTCCTTATTTGATCTGTTTTTCTGTAATTGCTTGGTCGTGTAAGACCTGCTAATTTTGTTTTTATTCATCTTATTTCAGTTTTGCAGAACAGGTAGTTCAGCTTCAGAAAAACCAATAACTGCCAGGTGTGATGCCGCATTTCTGTAATCCCAGCACTCTGGAGGCTGAGGCAGCAGGGTTGCTGTGAGTTGGAGGCAAGCCTGGGCTATACAGTGAGACACTATCTCAAAAAACAAACAAAAACCCAACAACTCTGGCAAAACCTAACAATACCTTTGCTATTAATGCCATTTGTATTTACGTGAGTCTCTACTCTTCCAGTAGTTCCTGCTCATCAAGCAAATTATGTTAAAGAAAATCAATTAAGCAGTAATTAGGAACTAATGAGGTCTGCATCAAATATGTTTATTCCTTTAAGGAGCTCAGAGAAATCTCAGGAAAATACTGACCATTGACTTAGACAAATTCTATTAGAAGAGAATTCTCTTTGTAAGAACTATTTAGGTCTGAAATAAGTTTCCTAAAATAACTTCAAGGGAAATATCCTGTAATTTGTTTATCCTTAGATATACAGACTGTAAAGTTAGTGTTTTCCTAGGTAATATAGTTTGATAAGCAGTTTTACTTAGGAACTATAAGTAACTGGTTCTTTTTAATTTTTAAAATTTTATTAGTCCGTGTGTGTAGTGTATAATGATCAGAATCCCTGAGGACAGTTGGTACATGTATGTAACATCTCAATTCTTCTTCTTCTGCCTCATTGAGATGGAGTCTCACTCTGCATTTAAGGCTGGCCTCGAACTTGCAGCAGTCCTCCTGCCTCAGCCTCCCAAGTATTGGGATCACAGGCCTGCACCACCACATTTGGCTCAATTCTTTCTTCATCCCCTTCTACTTCTACTTATCCCCTTCCCCTCTCTCCCTCTTGGTCTCCTTTTCTTTTGCAAAAAAAAAAAAATCTGTTTCTGATTATCTTTTATTTTGCTTTTTAATTTATTTATACTTTGAATACATATAAGAGAAACCACATGTTTAAGCTTCTGTGTGTCTGTTTTACTTCATTTAACGTTATGGTCTTAAGATGCATCCATTTTCCTACGAATGACTCAAGTTTATCCTTCTTTGTGGCCAAGTAGTATTCCATCGTGTATAAACACATTTTCTTTATTCATCCATCTGTTGATGCACACATAGGGCATGTTCAAGATTTGGCTATTACGGGTCATGCTGCTCTAAACACGGGCATGCATGCATCTCTGAAATATGACTTTAACTCTTGGAGAAAGATACCTAAAGGGGAATACCTGGATAAGATGGAATTGGTATTTTTGTCTTTTTTATTTTTATTTTTTTAATTTCCAGACTGATTTCCCTAATGATTCTACTCAATTACGGTCTTACATAGTTCGCTATTTGCTGACTATTGTAGTGGTGGGGGTCCCATATAGGAACAGAAGCAGCAGGAATTATATGCATGAGTATGCAAGGGGATCCATTAGGCTTAGAGGATCAGGGCTGGGAGAGTCCACAGCTGCACCAGAGGCAGGAGAACGCACAGTGGCTGAAGATGTGCTGCTATAAACGCAGTCAGGCTGTAGGTGAGCTGTGGAGCTGGAGGAGTTGGAAGCACTCAGTTCGATATGACACAAGCCATGGAACAAGAGGGCTCAAGGATGCAGCACCAGCGCGAGGTCGAAGGCCGGAACACTCCCGGCCCCTGCGTCTGCCTAAGCAGGCACTTTAATCCGCTGAGTCTATACTGGGAAGCTGAAAGAAAGAGAAGACCTGGAGGCTGATGTTCAACGGTGAATCCAGAGGCAGCACCTGCCCAGGAGGACTGGAGCTCTTCAGAGAGGTCACACTCCCTTCTTCCCCTTTTCATTCCATCTGGGCTACAAGCCTATTGTTTGATGCCATCTACAACTCGGTCAGGTGTGCCCACATCGGTTGGCTGGGCTACATGTCAATCACGCAAGACACACCCAGAACTGAGCACTCCTGACCGCTAGGCTCCTCACTACAGTCAAGTTGACACATCACCATTCACAGTCACAGCCACGTGCTCCAACTCCTTTCACCGATAGTAATCTTAGAGATGAGTCAGGGCATCACATTCCGCTAGACGCAGAGGTTATTTTGGGGTGCGTATTTGTTCTGAGAGGTGGTCTCATTCAAAGGACAGCCCAGGAACAGTGTTTTTTGACTAGGGGAAGAGAAATTACTTTCATTCAAGTTTGCATAGCCAGGTGGTTAGCAGGAGAGAACGGAGGCCCAGCACCCGCGGGTGCCCAGGTCCACCTTCAGCACATCCCCTCCCTCCCAACCTGGAGCCCCACCAGAGATGGGGAGGGGACTTTAGGGGACAAGCCAAGGGAGAAGCCCACGTCAGCCCGGCCTGCAGGCGGAAGGGGGCAGAGAAGCGCGCGGGTGTGTGCGTGTATCCAGAAGGGCAGTAATGCTGCCAAGCGTCGGGGAGCAGGGCCAAGCAAGCGGGCTTCACAGGAGGGCACCTGATGGGCGGGCCATTTCCAGAACTCCCCCTGTTTCTGCCTCTGCGGAAGGCTTGCACTTGTCCCTCTCCAACAACTCCACTGATATGTTTTCAGGGCTTTGTTCCTACTCACCAGAGACCTGATTCAATTATGTTGTCCCCCTAGTAATAGAGGCTGTGCTTGAAACTACCTTGGGGAAGAGTACTTTTTCCTAGGAGTTTCCACACAGTGGAATGACGTCTCATAAAACAGAAGAAAAGCAGGGCATGGTAGCCCGAAATCCCAGCACTATGGAAGGCTGAGGCTAGAGGATCACAAGTTGGAACCCAGCCTGGGTGGCTTAGCTAGATCCTGTTTCAAAATAGAAAAATAAAAAAGAGTTGGGGATGTAACTCAGCGTTAAGACCCTGGGTCCAAGCCCCAGTCCTACAAGAAAAACAAAACAACACAACTATAGTCATTCTAGTGCCCCCCCCACTTTTCTTCTTTTAAAATAATATTTCTTGTAGTTATTTTGCGTCATTTGCAAAAATAAAATCCTGCAATGTAAAAAATCAGGAAAACTCAGTAAAGCACTAGGAGTTGTTAGTCCTTTGTTCAGTAACAGCCATGAATACTTTTTTTTTTTTCAGTGTGAATACTTTTCTTGACACAGTAACGGTGCATTTGAGTTTGAATTACTCGCCTGCCCAGCCCCAGGCTAAGGGCGACGCCCCGCCCACCGCAAGGCTGTCCCGCCTCCACGCCGCGGCTTCTTCAAGGAGGCAGGGCCTGGAGGGACCCTCGCTGATTGGCGGAGCTCGGGGCTACGTGGCGTAGGGGCGGGGCTCCGGCGGCGCGGGGGTCGCAGCCGGGTCTGGTTCGGGGAAGGGGCGCGGGCCGGATGGTGGCCTGGCGCTCGCTGCTCTGTGTCGCCTTCTGTGCCTGCTACCTGGCCTCCCACCTCACGAACAAGGTGAGCGGCGGGTGCGGGAGGCGACGAGGCAGTGGGGCTGCGGCGGGCCCGGGGACGCCCCCCGCGGCCCTGGGGCGCACCGAGGGGCGAAGGGCCTGTCAAGCCCGGAAGCTGGTGTCCACCGTCCCTGTACCGGGAGCTAAATTTGGGGCTGCGAGGTCTACTTTTAGGAAAATCAAACTGAGGTTCCAGAAGCTTTCAAATAGTTTAGTCCAGCTCCCGGGCCCTTCCTTGCTTTGATGTCTCCATCACAAGCATTCCAGTATGTTCAAGGGCTTGTCATAGCATTAAGAAAAAAGTACAGTGTGTATTTGTTTAATGTAGTTTTGAGACAGGTTCTTGCTATGCAGTCCAGGCTGGCCTTGGACTCACTAGGTAGCCCAGGCTGGCCTCAAACTCGCAGTGATCCTCCTGCCTCAGCCTCCGAGCGCTGGGATCACCTGAGCCACCGCGCCTGGCTATCAGGCACCACTGTGCTATTTGCGCAAGCTGCGCTCCCTTGCAGCAGCGAGATTTCGTAAATCGGCTGGGACCACGTACAAGCCCCCACCCCACATCCATGACTAGTTTTTATTACCCACCCTCAGTTATCCAGAGTCCAGAAACATCAATCAGAAAACTTAAGAAATAAATCCCAGTTTGTAAATTTTAGTTTTAATGCACAATGCTGTTATACTTATTCTATTTTTAGTTGTTAATCTCCTAATCCCTAAACTTCATCATAGATAAGAGATGTCCAGAAGACAGTGTACCTAGGGCTCCACACTGTTACTAACTTCACCCTCTGGGGAGAAAAGGACCCTTGTAAGGCAAGTGGGACATGAACTGGGCAGTGGACACCCCTTGAGTTTGCCCTTCTGCATCTAGCCTCTCAGCCAAATTGTTACTATTTTTTTTTTTTTTTTTTCAATACTGGAGATTGAGTTAAGGGCCTTCACTTTGAACTCCATCCTCAGCCTTTTGGTTTGTTTAATTTTTTCTTTTTTAAGTTTTGAGGCAGCATCTTGCTAAATTGCATGTTTGGTTGCCTAGGCCAGGCAACCAAATTTGTCAATTTTGTCAATCCGAAACCTTGCGCAGAGGGCTGGGATTACAGATGTGTGCAACCTCACCCAAATTCTGCCAGATTAGTTTATCTCTGAGATAGTAATGACTCTTTTGTGTCTATAGTAGAGGATGTTCTTCTCTTCTAGTTTTTCTGAGATTCAGCGCTGTAGAGTACTAGCTTCTTTACTTCTGTATTTCTTGGTGTAGTTTCCTCCCACAACTCTCTCTTTATTTTTATTTATTTTGAGACGAGGTATTGTTACATAGTTTAGGCTGGCCTTGAAGTCATCATGTAGCCCAAGCTGGCCTCATACTTGTGATGATTTTTCTGCCTCAGCCTCTTGAGTACTGAGGTTACAGGTATGCACATCATGCCTGGCTCCTTTATTTTTAGAAGGGAAAGTCTTTAAAAACACCTTTATCTTGTGTGTCTCAGAATGACCTCTTCTACTATTGAAGGAAAGGTTGGCTTCTGTTTGAGGTTTGGAGCGGCGGGTGTGCAGCAGAAGGAGGCTACTGGGTCAGGTAGGAGAGAAGCCACGATGCCCCTGAGCTCTGGTGTTGGTGGCCTGGCCTGGTGAGCCTGTGACACGTTCCCCCGTAACTGGAAGGCAGCTTTGCTCACCACTATACCACCAACGCCATACCCTCCTGCCCCCCAACCTGGGCCCAGGCAGACACCTGCCCTTCCTGACAGTTATTGAGCCTCCAGTTTAAAGGCAGGGCTTTCAAACTTCCTAAAGTTTGTTCTTCCACTTCTTTTCCTGCACAGTCCCCAAACTGCTCTTTCTCAGTGACTTGAGGAATTCTTGAAAGGAAACCTTTTTACACTTCTTATTTATTGAGACAAGATCTTGCAGTGTAACCCAGGCTGGTGCAGAACTCAGGGCAATCCTCCTGCTTCAGCCTTCTGAGTGCTGGGATTACTGGCACGCGCCACCACGTCCACCCAGGAGACACTTTTAAAACTAAGACTCCACTTGTCATAGATTTCTTTTCTCACTGTTCTTTAGTGAGATGAGGCCAGAGTTTCAGCATTTTATTTTGTTTCATGGTGTTGTGGATTGAACTCAGGGCTTTGTCAGAGCTGGGCCAGTGCTCTTCCCTGAGCTGTACCCCAGACTGTGAATGGCAGCGTTGTTGGCCCAGGGTCCAGGTTGAATGAAGCCAAATATTAAGTAAACGGACCTGACCAAGGTTGCTAAGGGCAACTTTAGGAAATGACCAAGGTCCTCATAGTCCCTTCTCGTCTTCCACTCTGCAGTAAAACTAGCAGGGAAGAGTAGGAGGAGCATACTGAAATATACAAGGAAGTAAACTTCAGGGAAGAATTTCATAGATGTTAAATATATAATATAAATACTTTCTCCATGACCTTTCACTGCCTTTTTTCTAAGATGGT